ATCAATATTTGCAATAGGCTCCAAACACAAACAGACTACAGAATACCTAATAACCTAAAAAATAAACAGAGTTAACCTCTAAAAATTAATTAATTAAGAACAACAGGACTAGGGCCAGCTGATGGTGTGGTGATTAAAGTGGTTGGATCCCACATGACTGACTATATGGTTTGAGTCTCAGACCAGGCAGCTTAAAAAACATGCTGGGTGCATTTACATAAGCATAACCAAAACCCTGAGGGGAGAATGGAGTAGAAGGAACTGTGGCACCGCCATCCCTCATGAGGGGTAATTTTTCACCTTCCCTCTCTCTGTCTCACTATGGTGAGTGCATATGCCTATAGCAAAAACTAAAAAACAAAACAACAAAAAAGAAAAATAAGACTATAACAGACAACTTTACGCACTGTTGAAATTATCTTGACATAACTCTAAGTCACTATAATGACACAGGGAAAACTGTGGTTAATTTTATCATCAGATACGGAAAATTCTCATTTAATGAATGAAAACATTTTTAAAAGCTCAAGTATGTAAAATTAAGCAGTTTCTGACACATACTATTCCATAAATGAGTATGAATATTATAATTTTTTTATTATTTACCAAAAAAACTAGTATAGATCCTATTTCAATTCACTGTACAAAAGCTGAACTAAAATCTTCCAATACTGTGATTAAGATGGGCATATTAGCATGCAGAAATACTGAGAATTGTACTTTAAAAAAATCAACATAATATAATGTCCCCACATGTTTACCTAGATTTTTAAATAATGCATAGCTCCACACAAATAGTCATACTATTTCCAGTATAGATGATCCCCTTTAATTCTAGAATGTCTCTCCTGTGATTTATGAAATAAGTTTTTCCATCTCTCATTGTTTGCAATCTTGTAACATTATGCCTATTTAACTATTTCCATTCATGGGGTACAGAAAACATTACCCCAAATATGGCACTTTGGTGTCCTACTCTGTTCTCATTGCTATAACAAATACCTTATATAGAGTGATTTATAAATTATAAATTATAGGAATTGATTTCTCAGAGTTTCAGAGGTAGAAGAAAAAAAGTTACAAACAGATTTGGTGCTTGGTGACTGCTCATACTTCCTTGCTGTGTCCTCATATGGTAGGGAACAAAAGAACAAAAGGTAGCTGAACTCCCTTGTTCAAATCCTTTTATAAAAGCACTCATCCTATCCATTAGGGCACAGACCTAATTATCTAATTAGCCTAATTATCTCCTAAAGGTCCTACCTTTTAATACTGTTTGGTTATTAAACTTCAATATGAATTCTGGAAGGGACAAAAACTTTCAGAGGACAGCACTTGGCATACTGAATATCTTAGGCTGAAAGAAACTTGAGGTAAATCACAGAAGGAGGAAAGTCTCTGACCTTCCACACCCTCTCTCCTGAAGCAGGCCACAGAAGCCAGAATTCCCCACACTGTTTCTCCCCTGCAGCAAGCCATAAAACCCGTGAAAGTCACTCTTTGACCTTCTTTCTCTCTCCTCCCCTGAAGACCCTCAATATGACAGGTATCACACTCTATAGCCAGAGGGAAGTAATATCATATAGAGAGGCCAAGGACAAACTGAATGGGCTTTGCTAAGTCCACCCTAGTACATTGCCATTACATCATATTCTTTTGTCCTCCAGTAATACTAATGCATAGTTGTCCATAGAAATACAATTTTCAGCCCAGCCATGGTGGTGTATGCTGGTAGACACTGTGACTCAGTAGGCCGAAGCCACGTGGGAGGCCTTGGTTTGATTCCTAGCCCAACTTGAAAGTTAGGCAGTGTGGTATGCACTGTAGTCCCAGTAATCTGGGTGGCTGAATGAAGCATGTAGATCACAACATAGACCTTGTTTGAAAACAAAACAAAACAAAAGTTTTCCCATTTCTTTCGCTTTTCATTTATGAAGGCTCCAATGCCATGTAAAACTTAAATAAATTTGTATAATTTTTCTCTTCTTAGTCAGTCTCTCATACTAAGGGTGTCATCCATGAAAGAAATGAGGAAAAGGATAGGTGAGAAAGGAAAGCTTTTCTCCCCAAAACCATCCATTTTTTTATGAGTCAAAATGAGCAAACAAATCTAGGTAGAGAAAGGGAGATAGAGGTGATGGTTGGCTTTTAAAGCCATTTGCTTCAGAAGATGGAAATAGTCTGGGCTACTCCATTCACAGAAGCTATTTTATTCTTTTTTTTTTCTCAATTTTCTTTGACATTTACTTAAAAAGATGTGGATCATCTCTCCTAAAACTGATTATACTTTACAGGCATGCTCTAAAAAGGTGATTCAATGTTACCCATGTTCTTGAGATTTATGTGAAGAAAATTTTTATTACTTAAAAGCATATCCCACCACTGTTTGACAATACCCTTTTTGAAGTGCTAAGTAAAAGTCAGAGCCTGGACTAGATGATTTCTATTGTCTCTAGCCATAAAACTCTGTGATTCAGCATACATTTACTGAGTGGGTTAGGTGATGGGCATTGTGATGGGCAAAGTAATTATCAAGCCAGACATTATCTCTGCCAGGTGGACAACAAAACAGAGAGCAGGTAAATGCCAGGCTGTCAGGGGCTGGAGGTCAAGTTTTCTGTCAAGTACACTGCTGCATTTTAACAGCCTGGCAATACCTAGCATATTGTAAGAGTTTGATCAATATTGTGAAATTAGGGTGAATATAGCCTGCTCCAGGATACAGCCCAACCTCAGATTTAGTGAAGACTCAACCTGCCTACTTTGTTGCTCTGTAGCTATGATGCCAGTGCTGCTCACATTGCACCGCTGTTCTTCTGAGAGCCCAGGGACATGGGAATGCTATTCAGTTTTTGAACTTATAGTCTTCATAGAAAGATTGCTGTTTAAATAGGTAAGGTTACTTTCATAGTTATTCAATTTGAAGGGCCAGTGACCTGCAGCAAAACAACTTATTAGCAGGGGGCCAGGAACATTGGAAAGAACATCTAGTATCAAGAATCCTCTGCTAGAAATGGAATCATGGCTCTAATTTTAAAACAGGGTCAAGTATTTCCTAGTAACATAGTCTTCTCTTTTGGAATTGCCTGAACAGAGAAAATATGAAGTAGTTACAAGAACTCATGATATATATATATATATATACACATGATGATTATTTATTTTGTTTCTACAAGATCAACGCTTTCAATGGGTGTCCAAGGAATCTTCAAGGCAAGACTAGTTTAAGCAATAGTTTTATCAATGCCACTCATTAATTTATAGTTTTTAACTAATTCAACTCAATATTCTAACTTTTTCTCTGAAATAAATTGCTGTATTTTTTATTTTTTTAATATGATATGCAAAGTAACAGCCCCATACATTTTAATATAGTTTTCAATCCCCTTGTGGACAAATAGTCATACTTTAGTGCCACTTAAATGAAGAAAAACCGTTCATCTGTAACACACAGATACAGAAGGCTCTGGATTTTCATTTTAAAGTGCTTAATTACCTGCATAAAGAGAGAAATAAAATAAGGAGTCCAGGCCAAGTTCATGAGGGTTTGAAATTACTTTTCTTTTTCTAAATGAGCAACAAAGACTCAATGCTGCAAGCTGTTGTGTGGCCACAAGCCAACTATAGAAGAAAATGTTCAAAAGAACAAGGGGTTCAGGAATTAAATTCATATATATGAGGCAAGAACCAAAATCAGAAGATGAAAAAGGAAGATGGTGTTTCCAGCTACAAGACAGTGTAATATATTTGAAAGAAAAAAATCTAATCAGCAATAAAATGAACCCTTCATGTTAAGTATCCCTAGGTGGCCAGTTATGCAATCCAAGGTTATTTTTGAGGATTCCCTGTCTTCAATTATTCACAAACTTGTGTTTGTGATATTCACATTTATGAAAGTACTCAGCATCACTAGAGGACCACAGAAAACACAGTATTAATTCATGAACCAAAACACTGAAATTGAAAAAAAATGTTTTTACATAAATCTAAATTGGCATTCTCAAGTAATTCAAGTTCAGCACTATAACTTCCAACTTAGGGTGTAAAGAAAGCAAATCAGAAAAAAAAAAGGCAATAGGTTTAACCTTGAAACAAGGTGACTGACATATATTTGTTCAAGGAATTTACTTATTATCAGATAAAGAATTTACAGTATTTATTCCCTCTAGAGAGATAAAATGGTGAATCAATCTGTAGTTCAAGATACTTATTTAAACCCAGAGGAGGATATGGCTTTAACTTTTGAAAACTAAAACAGGAAAAAAGAAAAAAAAACAAAACAGAAAACAAACCCAGCTTTAATGTATTTTATCTTTAGACACCAGGTTTAACATTGAACAATTTAAACTAATTGCTATTTCTCAAGTTTTTCTTTCATATATTTATGTAATTTATATTGTAATTTATATGAATATACTGCATATAAAGTAGAGGTTTCAAAAACATTTACTTAGCAAGAAATGCTTATTATATAGGTATCATCTACTATAATTTCTTCAAATGTATCATCTACTGACCAATTTATCCATGCATCTATTTATCCTTCACAATTCTTTCACAGTCTACTGATATTAGTCACCTCCTGATTGCCCTTGAAAATGCATATATGTATGTATACATGCAAAGAGAAAAAGAAGATCTCAGGCTGAAAAAAAATCTTTTCTTAGTGATCATTTCCTTCATGCATTAGGTTACACAAGATGTTTTGTGTTAAGTCCAATCAAGCCTTCAAAGACTTACCTTGCATATCCTGTGGGCTTTCAAATGAAATTGTTCTTTGAAAAAGGGTGTATTTTTTAGATCTAATTATTCCCTTGCCTAGGCTGTCTGGTTCAAAACATCATGAAACAAAATCTATGTGGCTAATATATTTTTTAAAATAGCATATAAAAAATTCATCCAGAAAATATGAATAGACTAGTAAATCTGGAACTAACCACATAGGTAGACAGACAGACACAAAGATTAACAAACAAAATGTTTAAATAAATAAAGGATATCTTCATCTTTTCCACAAACTTATCAGGTTGACTTTCTGCTTGGGGGAATTTCTTGATGTCACGTTCCAGATGAACAATTTGTTGTTCCATTGCTGCTAGGTTGCTCTTGAGAATTTGAGCTGAAACTAAAGAACAATGAGTGAAGCATTTAGAATATTTTACAAGGTGTTCCAAAAAAACAATTAAAAGAAAATAGTTTCAGTTAAAGTATTTTTTTAATGTGAAGAATATAGCCATGAAGAAAACTCACATTTTTCTGAGTTACTGCTCATAAAAATTCTATTCTCCATGAAATAAATGAAAATGTGTAATATAATATAGCAAATTATAATGTGTAATATGAGAATGTCACCATTTTACTCAGCCATTAGTTCAAATTAATCCATTTCTATTTAAATTTATTGATGGAATTCCTAATATTTCATTCTTTAAAATCTAATTTGAAGATTAAAGAGAAACTAAGGTTCAAAGAGATCTTATCTTATTAATGCATGTTCTTGGCTCTATAAATGATTTAAGGTTAAATTATATAAAAGGCTCTTTTTTTGTTGTTGAAATAGCTCTGATTTTTATAAACCAACATCTATGACAAAGGTTCTCATCTTTTGTGTATTTCATATTCACAGAGATGTGAAATTTAACTTTTGATACAGAAAGAAAATTGAGAGCAAACTCCTGGGAACACACATGCACATACACACCCACAAAGCACCAGCATGCCCTAAAACACTATCATTAGTTGCCTTAATTACCCCTACCATCCTCTGCACTCTTCTTTTTCTCTCATTGACAACTAATAATTTTATATATGGATTTTAAACTGCTCTTAAACCATCTGTGATTTGAGTCCCGGACCCGGTGGCTTAAACTCATACCAGGCACATTTGTGTGTGCGTGCCCAAGATCCTGAGAGGAGAATGGAAGAAAAGGGATTGCAGCATGGCCATCCCCCCTGGAGGGGGATGATTTCTCCTTTTCTGTCTCTCTGTCTCTCTCTGTGTTTCTGGCGAGCTCACGTGCCCTATAGCAAAAATCTCTCCCCCCCAAAAAAAAAAAAGTTATAAAAAATAAAACCATTGTATACTCTATTACTGCAAGACTGCAATTATGGATGAAGACACTTCTATCAACATGAACAGCATTTGGTAGGATTCTTACTGAAAAGTCAAATGTTACCATCCAACGGATAACACTGTTTTTAAAAAGAAGTCTCTAAAACACTATTAGTTAAAGAACCTTAAAACACAAATAGAAAAATGCTACAATTCTCTTTTTAAGTTAATTTTGTCTCTTTCAAAGACATATCAGCTTTACACTAAAAAAATCTTAGGAGACTGACAAAATCAACCCTGTGGCAAATTTTGGCCAAACTATTCTGATAGAAATTTATCACACCTCGCTGCACACCTTTGTAACTCAAGGAGGAAAAAAATCACCTTAAATATACATGGATGTTCAAGAGACTGAAATGCAAACACTAGCAGTAAAGACAATGTGTTTTTTTTTTCCTATTAATCTGTCAGTTTAAATAGCTCTGCCCAATTTAGTTCCATTTGTTTATATCTGACACGCTTTTAAATTAGTCTTTATTGGAGAATTCTAAGAGAGTTTTGTCTTGCCTAAAATTTGCTAACAATTCAGCAATCATTGTTTTATTTAAAGAATGAGTTTGCTTTGGAGGAAATAATTCTCTCTGATTTAGGTCTTACCCTTGTACTCTCCCTAATTATTCTCTCCTAACTATTTGAAAGGTTTCTCCTTCCCTACTTGCTTGAATGAAAAAGTAAAGATATTAAATTGACCAGTTGCTTAGGTTGTTTAAGTTACATGGACATGATGGGGTTCAGGACACATTACACCCAAATGTGGCACCTTGGCACATTAATTTAAACTGTAGGAATGTGATGCATGACACGTATAGGAAGGAATTCCTGATCTTCCTAGAAACAGGCCCTATGCCCCTTGTATGAGAAGTTCATCCCCCATGCCTGGAGAAAATGAGTATCTTTATCTTCGAAGACAAGACAAACACAGGGAGCTCTGAACAAAGAGACCTTGCTGGATTCCCCCTATGTTTTGTGCCTTGCTCATACTTTCTCCTCCTCATCATACTTTTCCAGGACTCCCAATGCTTCATCAAACATACTATGGAAAATATTCAGGTTTAACTGTATGTCTTTGGGCCTTCATTTCCTCAGGAAAGTTTCCCTGTCAAGTGAACCTTAAGTATGTATTTGTTCTTTTGCTAATCTGTCTTTTATTGCAGAACCTCAGCCAATGAACCTAAAATGGGTAGAAGGTAGTTTTTTTCCCCTCTATGGAAACAATTATTATAACTTTCTGTAGTAAACCAAAAGTGCCCAAAGGCGAGGTTTAGGTCACATAGTAATCCCCCTATTAAAAGCAACAATAATTCCACTAGAGAAAAGGGAATCATGACAATGACTTCATCTTCTGATTGCTCAATACTGAAATAGATTAATCAAAAAGCTATGTATACAAAAGTCTAGATATCTCAAATAATGAGAGAGAATACCTTCTAATCCAATGAAATTGCTTTTACCCTGAAGTTGAATTCTGAATAAATCAATATTTTCTAAACATCTGTCCTCCCCAATTTCACATGTCAAATCCTTAGTCCTCTATAAATCCCTCTAGAGCTCTACTCCTAAATCTCTGCCATTTCATATGCACTTTTTGTTTATTTAAGTGATCTTCCATATATCACCTTCTGCTTTGAATTAGAATTTTTTTTTTGGTCTTATGTACATAAATGCACAGTCTCCTTTATAAACTACTTAATGGTAAGATCCATGTGTAATTCTTTGCTTTTCCTTCAGTACTTATCACTGTGCTTTACACATGGTACTCAATAAATGTTTACTGAATAAATATGCACATTTCAAGAAGTCTTGGTTTATATTTAACTTTATGTCCACTTATGCAACTGAAAACCTAAGTAGAAATTAGACGTAAGCATAATGACTGTAAGTTATTTCAGGGATGGCCTTGTAGTGCAGTGCTTAAGCACTATGTGTAGTGAGCCAGGTCCCACATGGCCACCATGGTTTAATTCCTGGCCCCAGTGGCTTGAAAAACATGCCCAGCACATGTGCATGCATGCTCAGGACCTTGATGGGAAAGAGGAATGAAGGGAAGAGAATTGTGTCATTAACAGGATCCACTGTTGAGGGTACTTTCTCTCTCTCTCTGTCTCTCTTCTGCCCCCTCCCCCCAGACTATGCATGCACCCCATGGCCTTATAAATTAAAAAGTTGGGACCAGCAGATGGTGTAGCGATATGTTGCTAGATTCTCACATAGTTGACCGTGGTCCCAGTATTGGACCTGGCAACTTAAAACTCATGCGAGCACGTGTGTGTGTGTGTGTGCCCAAAATCCTGATAGGAGAATGGAGGAGAAGTGATTGTGGCATGGCTATCCCCCCTAGGGGGTGATTTCTTGCTTTCTGTCTCTCTCTGTCTCTCTGGCAAGTACACATGCCCTATAACAAAAATCTCTCCATCTGATAAATTATTAATACTATGCTTGAACAAAAGAGAATATTAGAGATGTAATAATCTCCTAAATTACAAGCAAATGTATGGCTCCATTAAACAAACAATACCATTGTATAATATACATTTTTAAAATTTCTTCTATGACCAAGAGAGTCAGAGAGAGAGAGACAGACAGAGCAGTAACTCTAATAGGGCCTTGACACCATGATCTACCCCTGCCTCAGCCAGCTCAGATTACAAGCATGCCCAATTTACTATAGGAGGTCTACAGACTTGAACCAGAAACCTTCCTATATAGGATTACCTCACACAGTGTCACGTTTTACCATAGTGCCACATTTGTCCCCCTTATTCCATTTTCAACAGTTTGATACCATTAGAATATTTTTTATTTGCTTATAATCAAAATCAGTCTACTTGAAATCTTACCCATTGCTCCTAATTTTGCCTTATGGCAAAACTGACAGTCTACTTCCTTTTACAGGAAAGGTTATCAGTCCGATCTTAATCTCCTCAGGCTATAAATACCCAGCTTCTTCAAGTAGTCCTCCTATGATATAAGAGCTAGTCATTATTTAAGGTCTTAACCTGCCTTCTCCATTGCTTCTTGGCACCAGTGCATGGTACCCATACATTCAGCTGTGGCAGAGTTAGGTGAAGCAGAAACAGTCTTAGCAGCAGACAGTCCCACGTTATAACTGCACCCTCACCAATTAATACTTGGGTTATCTTTTCTTTTCTGTCTTTATTCATAACAGAGTACTGTGTGCACATGTGAGAGAGAGACACCTTCCACAGGATCTAGTCACACCAAGATCACTCTCGATCACTCTCCTCCAGCTCTCCAGTCCACAGGATGCTGGACACCGTGTGTGCCTAGCATGTTTCGGGCTGATCAGGTAGAGGATTCAAAACCATAGTTGTGATGTAGAATCTAGCTTCTCTTGAGCAGAGCAGTACATTACAGATGTGCCACAGAGCCACCCCTACTCTGAGTCTTTAATTCCTGACTTGGAAAATGAAGATAATAATGCATTTCTTAAAGGGTAGTCATTAAAGTTGAATGAACACATGCATATGAGTATTGTACCTATCATTATATCTGGAACTTGATAGGGAATCTGTAAATATTTATTTTGAAATTTCACTACCTTCCCTTCTACACCTACCTTCCAACATACAAATTCCTACTGTATACATGCCACCAAGAATTTTTTTAAAAAATTGATGTAATGTAAGCCAAAACAATACCAAGACACCCCCTTACCTATTACATCTATTATGGACATCCCCTTACCTGTTACATCTACTATGGTCTGATCTAATTTAATTTAGTTTTCTTTCTACTCAAGAGAAACAAGATTGTGTTTTCTGTTTGTAGCGTTTACAGGGTATGTTGAAGTTTAGGTCTGAGAACCAGTGACAATTACACTAATGAACAGCCAATTTGTTAGAAATACGAGCAAGTTCCAAACTTAAAGAATATTTCTGGAAATTAAAAATTGTGTAGTAGTCTATACTTCTCTGAAGACATTTAAAAATAGCTACACTGGCTTTCTAGACTTGTCTAAAAGATAACAGACTAAAAATTTCTTAGAAAAGAAT